TGTGGAACACCAGCATTAATAGGCTTGCAATCGGAGCTTGCACCGTCTACAACGACCTTGATGCTCCGATCTGCAAGAAAGCTGGTGATCCAATCGCACAATTTCTCGGGAAGCCCATAGAAAAAGCTTCGAAAGAAGCGTTTTGTGCCAAACCCGATCGAAGGCCTTCGCAATGTCCAAACTAACGGCCAATGCCTCCCCGTTAGACTCTACTATCAACTGCTACTACTACTACGTTACAGTCGATTAAAGCCAACCTATGAACTATGCCTCTCCTATAGATTGCCTCATATGGGATCCCTCATTTGCCATAGTTGCAGTTTTTTTTTAATTTCAGTCGTTATTAGGGAGACGCTGTAGCTCATAGAATACTGTAACACACAATAGAATGGCTGTCAACCTTATTTTGTACGAAGATCGGCGTCACCGTGAGCACACATTCAAGCAATTACATCGTATTATCTCTTATCATTACTACAAACCACTGTCACTACGAGTCACTGTGTTGTGTTTTTGACACATCAATATTTTCTTATTTTGTTATTCACAAAATATAAATAGTTTCGACTTACCGGTTGTAGGATATGCCTCCTATATTTAAATTCCATTTCCTGCTGTTTTTTTTTTACAAGTCATTATTGCACAATTTGTCAATGCCAAATTGCATGGAGCGACGCTTGACATGAAAATTGGAAACGATGAATTGTGTAGACATTTATAGGTGTGAATTGACATGTTGGTGACATGTTAGTGACTACACGGGCCCCGCCCTGTCCCCCGTTCTATTATGTATGTATTATAGTATTTTTTTATAGGATAGGATGACAAACGAGCACACAGTCCACCTAGTGGTAAGTGGTTGCTGTGGCCCATAGACATCTACATCTGTACTCGGTTACGAATAAGATGCAGATGCGTTGTCACCCGTGAGGACTAAGATAGAATGCTTCGTTTCGAGTAAAAAGGATCTCCGGTTCTCTACACTCACTATACGAAACACAACAGAATTAAGCTATTATTTGACGCTGATATTCTGTGAGAGCGTGGTCCCTCCCCTGTCGAGCAGACCCATTCGTGCTGTAACTTTACTACTAATATAACAGCAGCATGGCTCTACCACGTAACCACGTACCACGTATTCTATTCTGTAGCCCATTTCCCAGTTTAGATTGGCGTAATAAAATATAAATAAAGTGTTTTGTCTAGTTTAAATAGCATAAACCGTTTTGGAACTCTCAATCATTTTATTTAAGCAGATCTTAGCTAATTAATTTTTAATATATTTAATATAATGGATTTCCGCAAACTAACGCCTGATTGTATTAATTATCTCTCTTACATTGTAACTAAAGATTTTTTATTCATATATTTGAAATTAAAATTGCTTACGTTGAAAAACTGCCGTGTAGTGGCGGTTAAGAATATCAACTACCACATATCTTCCCGTGGGTGTCGTAAAAGGCTACAGAGGGAAACAGGCAGGAGATGGGCAGCAGCATCTTCCTAATAACAGCTACTGTACGACAAAAAAAAACCGCGGTTGCCAACCCGCTCGCCAAGCGTGGCAACTATGGCAATATACCCTCCACGAACAATTACACAAATAGACGGCCCCCAGTCCCCGGCGGACCCGCTATTCCAAGCTACGGTGGCGATCGTGGTAACTGCGGGGCAGGGGGTGCTAAGAATCTCCGGTGGAGGTTCGGTTGCCACCTACGACGACTCGACCTGGCAACATTTAACGCACGCACCCTGAGGACTGACGAGAAGATCCTGGAGCTGGAAGAAGAGATAGATAAGTTGCGCTGGAATATTATAGGATTATCCGAGGTCCGAAGAGAGGGGGGAGGACACGGTGATTCTCGAATCCGGCAACTTGTTCTATCATCGGGAGGGCGACCTGTCCCAAGGAGGTGTCGGATTTATCGTCCACAACGTTGTAACGGTGTAAGATTGGGAGTGCGTCGACGAGGGTCGCGTACCTGATACTCAGAATAACCAAACGGTATTCGCTGAAGGTCATACAGATTTACGCACCAACCTCGGTACATCCCAATGAGGAGGTGGAGGAAATGTATGAGGATATTTCCAAAGCCATGCATTCCTCCAAAACCCACTACACGGTGTTGATGGGAGACTTCAACGCAAAACTAGGCACAAGAGAAAACGGTGAGCTGAAGTTAGGGAAATTTGGAATAGGGCAACGGAACCGAAGGGGCCAGCAGCTGGCCGACTTTATGGAGTAAGAGGGACTCTTTATGATGAACTCTTTCTTCCAGAAACGGCCCCACAGGAAGTGGACCTGGTCGAGCCCCGACGGTTCGACAAAAAATGAGATTGACTTCATTATGACGACCAGACGCCAACTGTTCAGTGATGTCTCAGTGATCGCAAGGGTGAAAAGTGGCAGCGATCACCGAATGGTTAGAGGCACACTGAGAGAATCGCTGGAGGAATTAAGCACTATGCTCAATGACCTCGATAGTGCCTCCCAACGGATAGGTCTTACGATCAACATGGACAAAACAAAGATCATGTTTAATGTCCATGTCACACCTATGCCGGTAGTTGTTGGGAGCACTATGATCGATGTTGTTGACAAGTACGTTTACCTGGGACAAGTAGTCCGACTAGGTAAGTCCAACTTCGACCGAGAGGTCAATCGACGGATTCAACTCGGCTGGGCAGCGTTCGGGAAATTACGACATATCTTCTCGTCAGGTATACCTCAATCTCTAAAAGGGTCAAACACAAAAATGTAGTTCATCATTTCCAAAAAATAAAACCTCACATATCAGTTTGAAAATCAACCTTTATTCGTGTAATAGTCTCTTATAATTCCTAATATTATCGACATAGATCAATCTTACATATTCTCTTGAAAAATAACAATTTTTATTTTTATAAGGCCACAGAAAAGATCTAATTGTCTACAGATAATAACGTAAACCTTATTTATGGTAATCACATTATTATGATTTGTTTACAGAACTTAATTTATAATGATTAAAATAAAAACATTTTCGTTACAAGACAGAATAATATTTGAAAATTGAAGTATTTCAAAAAATTAAAAAATAATGAAAATCGCTCACAGAATGGACATCTTTCCTGTAGAAATTCCAAAGAATTTTTCCAGGTTGTCTACATGTGGTAACATATTATACCTTATTTAGTAATCAGATAGTTATGATATATTTGAAAAACCTAATTTAAAATATTCAATATAGTATTCAATCTCAATAGCAAGCAATGTGCGAGAGTTACAGTATCTCGGAATATAAAATTTAAAAAAAAATGTCTACAGAATGGACGTCCTTTCTTTAATAAATAAAAACAATTAAAATATACTCTCATCATCAGAATCGTCTATAATAAAAGGCACTTGGCGTTTCTTTGGCGTCATTTCGACGGAAGACTCAGATTCGTCTAAGATGATACGAACGTGAGGTGTCTATGACTTTGTAAAGATAAGTTTTCAATTAGATTATCAGATATCAATCTTTCAGAAAAACCAAGTGATATTGGTTCAGTTGTAGCATTACTAGTTCCTGTACTTGCAGGTGAGTAAGCTTCAAAAAATGGGTTGCGATTATTGGAAGGCCCTGCTTGAGGAGATGCCGGCGACATATTGGAAAAATGATGATCAGATAATTCGTAATCAGTGGGAGAATTGGGAGCTTTAAACTGTATTTGAATCTGCCCAATTTCATAATGAGGACATTTATCGTGGGCTGCGCAATCCAAGCAGCTTAATCGCTTGGCATAGAGAACATAAAGATTTTGTTTATGCCATGTAATCTGATGTATTTCGAGCGTACCTTTAAAAGGACGTGTAGCGCTCTCCTTCAAAAGTAGATCGATTTCAGGAAACCTTGACTCGTCGATTTCAAAAACCTCTATACCTTTACAATTTACAGATAAGCATGCCATTAAATCATCTAAATTAGATATGTCATTTCCCTTTGCGACATGACCATCGCAAATGCGCTTGATGCACCCTCCAACACCATCGGGTGCACCTTTCCCATGTCCTCGTTCACTAAAATGCCAAATAATGGATGTCACAGAAAATTCTTTGCTTAATAATGTCGCTATTAAAAAAACATGGACTTGTTGCGGTACTGAGTTAGAGGACCATCGCTTAACATGTGTAAAGTTTGCAATTCAGGGGACAGTTCCTTAATTCTTTTTATTATAGCAATTAAGTGGATACATATAGCAGTTGGGTCATGTCGGAGGTTTTCTGATGCGGTACAGAAAGAAGAACTATTTATATAATTGTTAGGGGACTCTAACTTGGTATTTATAATATACGCTTGTATGCAACGAGATTTGCGATTTTGATCCACCAAAATGCGCCGACTGGACCTCTTGTCCATACTTACAACTATAATTTTCTGAGAAATCTATGTATAATAATCACTCAACGGTAGACAAATTTTTTTTAACATATTGTATGAATTTAATTTGATGAATCATGTTTGCCACATGTTTTCTTAAAGTAGGTAAATTTAAGATTAATTTTTCAAATAGTTGTTTTTTTGTGGTTTGCACCTTTTCCTTAATAGTTTTTTGACACTGCTTTGTAATATTTTTGATAATAATAGGAACACTTTTTGTGACCCACCTTTCAAATGATATAGTGTCATTAGCGTCAAAAACATTACACTGCAAAGTTTTGTCTTTGCAACCAGAACATTCCTTTTCTAAGCATCTCAAGCTTAGCGTATTGTTACAGCATAAATACTTTAGCAAATCCGATATAGATTTATAAGAAGTCATCTTAGCATTATGAAGAGATTGAATTATAAAACTATTATTAGCGTGTATGGTACATAAGCAAGTGTTTCTGGCGTTAAGTTTGGGAAACAGCACCCAGAATGGACGATATCTCCGAAAAGTTTCATACGAGATGTTAGTACCCGACTTATTAACAAAAGCTTTTTTTTTGTTCAAGCAAAAAAACTTCTACTGCTTTTTTTCTTTCTTGCACTTTCTTAAGCTTTTTTTTGAGGAACTGTCTTTTCTTTGTTTTCTCTATTAGAAGATCGAATAGCTCTCATACGGTATTTTGCCATTTTAGATTCCAGCTCAAGTATTCTTTTTTTTAGATAGTTATTTTCGATTCTTAATATTCGCGCATTGCGTTTCACAATAGCATTCCCAACTTTAATACGCGAAAATGAGGGACTAGACGGTGGAGTGTTCTGTTCAACGAAACGCAAAGCATTTTTACTATTTTTTTCCTTGTGGCGTCTTAATTTAGCCCTTTCCCTCCATATTTTTCTGATTTGGCGTTGTTCTCTAGGGGTGTAGTCTTTAATAGTTTTAATTTTGCCTTGTTCCTTTTTTCGTCGATATCTTTCCCTGTCCTGGCTTCTTCTTTCTTCTAATTCTGCTTCATTCATTTTAGCACGTGCACGACGGATACTGAGCTTCTTTTGTTCCCGCCTGCGCCTTTTTTTCTCTTCCTCGGAAAGCTGAATCTTACTTCTACTTGCCCGTGGCATCGTAACTGTAACAAAACAATATTTACATCATTTCCACAGATTTTGAGGATGCTTCCTACATCATGCATGTCCCTTACAGAGAAAAAGACGTAAATAAGAGACGTAAAATAAGTTTCACATGGCTAAAACCACAGTGAAACTCATTTTACGTCTCTTCTGTAGACTACGGTATCTCCTGTAGACACATTCATCTACATGAAAGACGTCTACAGGAAAGACATAGTGTAAAAAAATAGATATCTTTAAATATTTTGAGGTTAAAATGAAAACATGTTGGATTTTACAAACCTATCCATAATGCACATAAACGATTACGATTTATGTAATTTTTAATTATTTACTTACCAAAATATACGCAACATAGAAAAAATCTCCAAAACACGACCAAAATCTTGTGTATCCTTTAATATTAATATTTTTGCACCAACGCAGACGCCATTTATAAAAATCACGAACGAATGAGGGACGTATTAAGCAGTGATGCCAACATAACCCAATAAATATATTTGGTGCGTTCGAAATATTTAAAATTGTGCGAGATTTACGTGTCTACAGTAGTAGACTACAAATATTCGAACAATATGTTTATATGTTTTAATTCGTCAATATGGATTGCCAATTTTTTGATCTACACTATTATAAAAAGTTGTTTAATTTTTACATACATTCACATTAAAATAATTTATTTATTGCTCTTGAAATATTTTTAAACATCTATCAAACTGAGGTGCTAAGCATCCGAACAGTCTACAGTAGAAGACAATTTGGTATGTACGATAGCAGTAAATTAATTATTTTATTTTTATAAACAAAATGAGATTGAATATAGTGTTACGCGCTAAAATCTAAGAACTAAACTTCTTGAAGTTTAAAACTCGAACTCTCGGTACCTTGCGCGTGTTTACTTGAACATTCCGGATATTTTGCTAATTTATATAAGTAGGCGCTGCAAGATGCGATCGGGCAGAGTTGAACTCGGCGACACAAGCGAAGCTTCGGAGCGGAATTAAGTGAATTAGTATGTTTAATTATTAGTGTTGTTAGTTTTAATTTGTGTAAAGCAAATTAAAGTATTAATTTAGATAATTTTATCGGCAATTTTTATTGTCACGAACCTCAAGCTCGTAACAATTGGTGTCAGAAGTGGGATTAAATAATGCCGATTTTACCTAAGGAGGAAACGGAGGGTGTTCGTACCCGAAGTCAACGCCAGCAGGAGACGGACCAACGAAGATTTGCTGGTGCAACGCCGCAGACGTCGGAGGGCCAGCCACCGGCTGCAGGCCCGTCGGTAGCTCCTACATCTGCAGCACCTGACTTAGGTGCTCTGATGGTGATGCTGCAGGAGCAGGCTCGCCGACAGGAGGAACAGGTCCGTCAGTTGAAAGAGCAGCTGCAGAGCGGACAAGAGGAACAGGCCCGCCGACAGGAGGAACAGATGCTCCTCATGAAGGACCTTCACGCTACCTTCGGGAAGGAGATAAAGGAGGTGAAGGATAGGGTTGCTCAGCATGACAAACGCCTGTCGGAAGCTGAAACCCAAATCGCGAAAGCTGAAAACCGAATCGAGAAAGCTGAAACCCGAATCGACCAAGTAAACAATCGGGTTGACAACGTAATGGCTGATATGAAGAAATCACTGGACGAACTCAAACTTGGAGATGGAGCTACAGCTCCCGTAGTAGTTACAACACCTTCGCTACGTGGGTTCAAGGTGCCACCGTTCGACGGTACCTCTTCCTGGTCAGCCTACAAAATCCAGTTCGAGGCTGTTATGAAGGCGAACGGCTGGAATAAAAGTCAGGCCATGACTGCACTCACACTAGGCCTGCGCCACCAGGCCTTAACAGTTCTGGAAGCTCTCGGTGAGGAAGTGACTTATGAGCAACTCCTTAAGGCATTGGAGGCGAGATTAGGTGACGCTCACCTGGAACACGTCTTTCGTGCGCAGCTTAAAGATCGTGTGCAGCGCATCAACGAAAACCTGCAGCAGTGGGCTCTAGAAGTGGAGAAGCTGGTGCGAAAAGCATACCGGTCTGTACCTGCGCTCATTGAAGGGAACCTGGTGCAGACATTCATCGACGGCATCCGCGACCTGGAAGTCAGAGCTGCTGTGAGGCTCGGGCACCACGAGACGCTTAAGGACGCCTTGGCCCATGCACTGGAAGTGGAAGCCGTGCGGCAGGATCATCGTTACCATCGCGTCAGGGAGGTTGCAGCAGCTACAGTTCGCGACCGCAACAAAGGATACAGCCCAAGGTGCTATGGCTGTGGGGAAAAGGGACATCTTCGATCCAGCTGCCCTAAGAGAACCCTAGAAAGGGAAATTGAACGATCTCAGGAGGGTAGTGCGGCCAACAGCACCGCCCAGCAGCAGCAGGGAAACGAGTAAAAGCCAGAACTGCGGGGCGGGTGCTGGCTGATGTTAAAAGAGCCCCAAGGATCTCGATCTCACAAACCCATGATGGGAACAGCCTAATCATAAAGGACGAGATCAACGGAATGCCGTGTAAGCTGACCATAGACACTGGAGCCTCTCGTACGGTTGTTAGTTCCCAACTTATAAGTCAGTTCCTTGGGGACTCCGCATACAACCGAGAACGCATTAATTTGGTAACAGCCACCGGTCAGCGTATACCCGTCCGTGGAGAGAAGGAGATGGAGTTGAAGCTAGGCAACGTGATCTACCTGCATAATGTCATCGTGGCTGATATAATGGACGACTGCATCCTAGGCTTAGACTTTATGAGGAATAATTGTTGCGAGATCGACGTTAAGCAAGGTGTTTTGAAATGTGGACAGGAGGAACTTTTTATGGAAGGTGCGTTACCAGGGAACGTGTACAGCATCAAGAAGACTGTTCTTCCGCCGAGATCGGAAACGATTGTTCCGGTTAGTCTTCCTCGAAACGCTGGGCAAGCTTACCGTTGTGTACTTGTGGAAAGGGTAAACAATAACCTTCCATGGAAAGTAGCTCGAACCTTGGTCAGGACCACTGACATCTCAGGAGTACGTGTACTGAACCTTTGCGACCGGGAACAGATTATAGAAAAAGGCACACTGGTTGGTACTTGTGAGGAAGTGGATTGGTTACGTCAGTGCCAATATATATCGAGTGGGACCCCCAGCAAGGATTCAGAAACGAGAGTGACCACACTTTTGGAAGACTGTCGCAGTGTTCTGTCCCCGAACGAATTGGTCAAGGCGAAGAAGGTGTTACTCGAGTACGCCGATGTATTCTCATCAAACGATGCTGACATAGGAAAGACTGGTTTAGTTCAACACAAAATAAACACAGGTGAAGAGTTGCCTATCCGTCAGCGGCCAAGACGATTGCCGGTAGCACGTGAAAAGGAAGTGGAAACCATGATTGAGGGAATGGTGAGGGATGGTGTTATTGAACCTTCATCTAGTCCATGGTGTTCACCCGTGGTACTGGTAAAGAAGAAGGATGGTAGCTTGCGGTTTTGTGTTGACTACCGCCGTCTAAACGACGTTACTAAGAAGGATAGCTATCCCTTGCCGAGAATTGATGACACGCTGGACATGCTTACAGGAGTAAAGTGGTTTAGCACGCTGGACCTAAAAAAGTGGCTAATGGCAAGTTGAAATTGACCCTAAGGACAAGGAGAAAACTGCGTTCTCGACGGCAAAGGGTCTGCGGCAATTTAAAGTAATGCCGTTTGGGTTGTGCAATGCTCCAGCAACGTTTGAAAGGCTGATGGAACTTGTACTTACCGGGCTAATTGGCGATGCCTGTCTGGTCTACTTGGATGACATAATCATCGTGGGCCGTACGTTTGAGGAACACCTTCAAAACCTGGAACGCGTGCTCATGAATATTAAGAGTGCCAACCTCAAGTTGAGTCCGAAGAAATGTTCACTATTCAAACGGCAAGTCAACTTTTTGGGGTATGTAGTGTCGGAAGAAGGTATCCGCACGGATCCAGAGAAAATCGCAGCTGTAAAGGATTGGCCGGTTCCAAAAGACAAGACGCAGGTTAGAGAATTTTTGGGTTTGTGCTCCTATTACCGACGTTTTGTGAAGAACTTTGCAGATATAGCCAAACCTCTGCATAAGCTAACCGAGGAGAAGCGACATTTCTGCTGGGATGAAAGTTGTAACATCGCATTCCAGGAGCTCAAGGACCGTCTGTGCAAAACATCTATTTTGGGATACCCTGATGCAAGCAAAGAATTTATAGTTGACACAGACGCAAGTGATATAGGACTTGGCGGTGTGTTGTCTCAACGTAATGGTGACCAAGAGGTCGTGATAGCGTACTTCAGCAAGTCGGTGTCAAAACCGGATAGGAACTACTGTGTCACAAGACGCGAATTGCTAGCTGTGGTAAAGTCGTTGCAAGATTTTAGCAAATATCTTCTGGGACGAAAATTTCACTTACGAACTGACCATGCTGCACTAAAATGGCTATTGCAGTTTAAAAGCCCAGAAGGACAAGTTGCGAGGTGGATTGAACTACTGCAGGAATACGACTTTGAGATCGAACATCGCAGCGGGAAATCTCATGGCAACGCAGATGCATTGTCAAGAGGACCTTGTCCTGAAGATTGCAAACATTGTACTAGGCAAGAGAGTAAGGAAGTGGTATCCGTGAGGATGCTCAGGGCAGACCACCCCAGCAACGAGTGGAAGGACAGCTTACTACATGCACAGCAGGAAGATCCGGACATCAAGCCAATTTTGGAATGGATAAAGGCCAGTGCTCCCAAGCCCAAGTGGAGTGACGTCTCAGCGATGAGTTCGACCACTAAAAGCTATTGGGCCCAGTGGGACAGCTTGCTGCTTCAGGATGGAGTTCTGTGTCGTAAATGGGAAAACGTTCGGGGAGACAGCTGTCATTTGCAAATGGTTGTCCCTAAAGCTAAAGTACCGGATGTTCTACAGCTGTACCATAATGATTGTTCAGGAGGCCATCTGGGAGTTAAACGAACTCTACTGAAGATCCGAGAACGGTTTTACTGGGTCCACTGTCGAA